TCTAGGCGAATTCTGCAAACGTAAGTGCTTCCTTTGGGTGTCCTCCCCCTCCCCGCCCCGCCGCCGCCGCCGCCGCCGCCTGCCTGCCTGCAGCTTTCCAAGATGTCTGTCTGCCTCCTTTGTGTTACCGGAGAGGCTCTTCGGCGGCCGTTTTTGAGCGACGCAGCTGCCTCGCGCACGCGGGCTGGCTCGGCCTCCTCCGAGCGGAGGTAGCGAACCTGCCGCGCGAGGCAGCGGCCGAGGGGCAGCCTGGAGCCGAGGCGGTCGCGGCTGCAGCGGGGCGCGCGGTGGAAGCGCCGCGCCGTGCCGCGCGGACCGTCCGGGCTCGCTCTCCGTCGGCGTCCGCGCGTTAAGGCGAAGCGCTGGTAGCGCTCGGCCCAGGACGCGAAGGGCGTGGAGCGGGCCCTTGGCGGGGGCGAGGCGCGAGCCGCGAGGGGCGAGGGCTGCCCCGGCCGTCTTTGTTTCGGAGCTCGCTCGCTCGCTCGCTCGCTCCGTCCGTCCTGCGGGTCGCGGCGGCGCTGCCCTGTAATTCCAGTCCGCCACAAAGGACTTCTAACTTTTCGGAGGCGAAGTCAGAATCGTTGCCAGAACGGGGGGCGCGGGCGGTTCCTATTAGCGTGACTGGTCTTTCTTCTGAAAAAACGTAAAATGTTAGTATGGGAAAGGAAATGCGTAGCCTTTTATGTTTTCATTTGCCTTACAAATTTTCTTCTTTTTCAGAAGGAAACAGTGGGGAGAAGTGTTTTATTTTAAGAGAGAGAAACGACTTGGTCTTGTTGAATTATCTGGGGCCGTTTAGGGAAGGGGAAAATGCCCAGCACCATTGATCTCTGTCGTGGGATCTGCGTTCCCTCCCAGCAGACCTTTGTCTGCAGAGGAGGAGAGGAGCCCAGGGCTGTGCTGATGGTGGAGGTTTTTTTGCAGGGGGTGGGAGAGAGATGAATGCACAAAGACTCCAGTGGGCCCTGGCTGCTGCTGCGGCGGCTCTGTTGAGGAGGAGGAGGAGGAACAAAGAGGCAGATCACAGAAAAAACATGTTAATGGCGACTTTATAACATTTTCTAAAAATAGTAGTCACTCACAAATAATGCTGTATTTAATATTTGGTGAGTAAAAACTAAATTGTAATTCTAAGGCTGCAAATATTTGCTTCATTATGTTGCCAGAACTGGACTCCGGGTTGCAATTTTGTTGCAGACTAAATACATCATTAAAACAACAGCAGTACGTATGTTTCTTCCTCCTCTACTTTTGCTTCAGCTCAAGTACTCAAAGGAGAATTAATTTTAAAAATACAATTGCCTCCTTTTGAGGCACAGAATCCTGGAACAGCGCTTCCAGACTTGTAGAGCATGGTTCAAAACTTTGTAAAGCTGTTGTATATGGAGAATTTACTGAGATTAAATTAAAATACAGTGTATTATTATGGTGCAATCCATGTTTCATACACAGACTGAGGGTTCCTCAACATGGAACATTCGGAGCACATGTAAATTGATGTGCAAATGTAAAACCCTTTGTGTGTAGCCGAGTGTCATGCCTCATGGCAGCAGGTTTGGGAAATCCCTCTTATGACTCATTTAAGGAGAAATTATGCTTTTCCACAAGATAGAATTGCTCTTGGTGTAGTTGGCTAGATACGCCTGACATGGACAAATTATGAGTTTGGATTGGATAGTGTTACTGAAGAAGTCCACAATTTTCTATGGTTCTTTTATGTTCCTGGTTTACAATGAATTTCAAAAGGAGTTGGATTCCTCCCAGAAAGCACTTCAAGTCTCCAAATTCCAGGCTTGTCAGGAAGAATCTGGAGGCTTCTTAGCACATGTTTGCTAAGAAGGAGCATGAACATGGGGACCAGTTGTGTGGAACCTCTTCATCTTGAATCTGTCAATCCCATTAGTTTTGCTCCCATTTGAATTTGAGGCATTGAAACAGAGAGAGGCAATTGATTTGTCTAAAAAAATTCTCCTCTGAGCTTGTCTGTGGGGATTTGAACTGAGACCTTTCAGATCCAATCATAGTCAAGACTTCTGTCTTCTCAGTGGGGGAAATTCTGCAAAAACTGGTACTTTCTAACTTGTTCATAAATGGCCTCTATTTGGGTAGGTGGTGAGGTGACCAAGCTTGCAGATGAAAGTAAAGTATTCAGGGTGGTTAAAAACCAAAAGTCATTGTGAGGAGTTCTAGAATGATGTTTTAAAACTGGATGAATGGGCAACCAGAGGACATATGTGGTTCATTTGTGATGTACATTGGGTCCAAAAAAAAAAAAAACTTCACACACAGAGTGAGGGTGTTTGAGTCATCTGTAACTAATCAGGAAAAAGATCTTACATTGCAGTAGACAGCTCATTACAAGTGTAATGTATGTATCTGCATGTTGCACATGAAAAAAATGAATTCCATTTTAGGAATAATTAAGAATGGGATTCAGAACAAAACTGCAAAGACTAATGCCTTTAGACAAATGTACAGTTATGTCCATATCTGGAGTATTATGTACAATTTTGGTGTCCATGTTTGAAAAAGGATATAATAGACCTGGAAAAAGTATAGGAACGACTAAAAGATTGGGGGATTCTAACAACTTCCCTACAACAAAAAGATAGAATATTGGACATGACTGAGGTATATAAATTTTTCCATGGCCTGGAGAAAATCGACAGAGTTTTTCTTCCTCTCTTCAAACACCAGGACCAGGGACCACCAGTGAGGTTGATTAGAAGTAAATTTAGAATAGATAAAACACTTCACCCTGCACAGAATTAGTCTGTGGAATTTATTCCCACAAGATCTGGTGGTGGCCACTAATCTGGATGGCATTAGAAAGGGATTGTACAAATTCATGGAGGACGGTGCTTGAAGATTCAGTGTCGCTCTGGGTTGGGGACAGCATTCCCCTACATCCCAACTGCTGGAGAACAAAGGCGGGGGAGGAATATGTTCATAAGCACCCTAGAAGCACTTTGAGAAACGAACAGGTTTATAAAGGGTCTCATCCTCATCCAGCAGAGCCCTCCATCCCTTCCCCTAAGTTACTGTGTCATTTCTGCCAAGGCTGTTGGTGAGTCCAGTGTTGTGGTCTACAGCAGGCGGTCTTTCAGTCCACGTGGGATGGAGCCTCGCTCTTTGGCCTGCCTTGCGCTGAGGCTCCCTGCTGCAGGTGGCTGTGCTGTACCCACGGAGGAGGTCCTTCAGAATCCTTCCCCATGTGATGGAGAGGCCTACACACGTGGGGAAAGCTCTACAACACGTCCCTTGCACGTTGAGACCTACACACAAACTGTATATATCTTATACCCCATAACTTGCTGCAGCCACGCCCTGCATACATGTATCTGAAACTGATGGCCGTTCTTTCCCTGCCCCTTCCTCTGTCGTCTGCCCTCTGCCCAACTTTAAGCCCACAAAAACCTTGTACCATGTACATAGTCCAAGGTGGATTCTACATAACAGTTTGGGCTCTTTGGATACCTCTTTGTACAGGAGGGGAAGGAAGAGTGAGGAGGAGTGCAGTCAGTCGCTCCCAAGCTCCCCCTTTGTGGGAAGGAACAGGCAGTCATTCTCCAGGGTAGCTCACTGTCTCTTGGCTACATGGAGGAAGAGAAAAGCGGGAGGCCTTAGCTGGATGGAGAAACCAGATGTTTTGCATCCTTGTAGTAGGTGGACAAATCAAATCAACAAAAGTGGGTTTGAGCTAGGAAAGCTCACCTTTTTCTCAAGCTTTAACTCTCTTCATTCTTAATCTCGGGGCTCCCTACTTTGTGGTGCTGATCCCCTAATAAGATAAATTATGCTGTGAGATTCCCCTCTTTCCCTGTGTGCCGATCTAATGCTTTCATTGGGATTAGAGTTGGGCAAGAAATAAACATACCACTTTAAATAGTTTAATTTTAATCTATATAGCAAATATAGCAATAATTGAAAGTTGAAATATTACAAAATGAAAATCTTTTCACTGGTAATAATAAAGCAATCAAATGTAAAAGTGTATTTTAATGGGAGGGCTGAGCTCACTTAATTTTGGATAATTTGGGAGTTCTCAAATTAGGGGTCACAAGCAGATTTGATAGCATTGCAGATTTTTGGGGGGCTCCTGCACAGAATGCAGGAGCCCAGCTGGAACTTACTCCGGATCTGCCTGGACAAGCAGCCATCAGATTGTCCAAGCAAAGTGGAGAGACAGGCCAGAGCTTGGTCTGATGGGGCTCCAGATCTGTATGCTTGGGTGGGCAAGGGGACCATCTACAGACTGAACACAGGAACTGTGCTTCCAAATTGTGGGCTTCTGAGAGTCCCGCCTGCAAGAACATCTCATGGGTCATAGCAGGGGTGTTACCTAGCCAGTTTGTCAGGTTCATGCTAAACACTTGTTAAATTTTGTTTGGAAAAGCAGGGAATGAGAGACAACTAGATTTCTCTCTCTGTTTGTTATAACTTACACATACACACATTTTCCCACTTATCAGTGGTCCCTTGGGAGTAAAATAAGTGGTCTTTTTTCCCTTTCTCAATCTTAAAATTACAAAGTCCATCTGATGGCCTTCCTTTGCTGCTAATGCTTCCACAGCCACTTAATCGGCCTGTTGTTATTGCTCTGCAGTGTAAAGGACCCCGTGAGCAATGGGGCCGGATGGTGCATGAGAGACTCCCAGCTTTCAGAAGTGCCCAAACTACTGCAGTCCCACCCACCTGCGATGCTGCCAGGAACACCTTGGGAAGTGTAGTGCAGATGTAGCTGGGCCCTCTTTCCTTGGAATGTGGGTTATTCCTCCTTCCCCCTTATCCCTCTTCTTTTGCCTTTCAGGGGATCGAAGGCAAACATCAAACAATTCTGAAACTGCCTGCAATGGCATCGTTAGAACCAGAGGGAGAATCACATCCCCAGCCAGACATTCCTCTGTTATCAGTTGGTAGAACAGCCTCCTCTGGCAGGAGCCTTGAGCAAGAAC